TGAACCACGTACATCTTGTGTTTGCTTTCTGTCTCTATCCATTTACATACTTATCTACACTAATGACCGGAGCAATCTAGCGAAGATCACAAACTTAATACTTTCTGTTGTACCAAAGTCCTCACTGCTTTTGTGCATCAACAATCTGTAAGTCCTTACCTTTTTGCGTTGGTAATGGATGAGTTAACAGGACATATTTAAGATGATATTCCTTGGTGTATGCTTTTCGCAAACGATATAATGTTGATAGATGAAACACAGGAAGGGGTAAATGCGAAGCTTAACCTTTGGAGAGAAGTGTTGGAATCTAAAGGTCTTCGCCTAAGCCGATCAAAGACAAAATATATGGAGTGCAAGTTCAGTGCAAACGGAGGCCAAAATGAGTTAGGGGTGAGGATCGGAGATCAGGAAATGCCAAAGAGCGACCGTTTTCGCTACCTAGGATTTATCTTGCAAAAGAACGGAGAATTTGATGGAGATCTCAACCATAAAATACAAGCTGGATGGATGAAGTGGAAGAGTGCATCCGGCGTGTTGTGTGACCGTCGTAGGCCACTGAAGCTCAAGGGAAAATTTTATAGGACGGCAATAAGGTCAACGATGCTGTATGGCACAGAATGTTGGGCGGTGAAGCATCAACACGTAGGTGTAGTGGAGATGATGATGCTTCATTGGATGTGTGGGCACACGAGAAAGGATAAGATTAGGAATGAGGATATCCGAGGCAAAGTAGGAGTAGCTGAAATTGAAGGAAAGATGAGAGAAAATCGGTTACGGTGGTTTGGACATGTGCAAAAAGAAGGCCTACTGACGCTCCGGTTCGAAGATATGACTACGGGACAGAGGTTCAGGGCCGAATGGGTGAAGGAAGACCTAGGAAAACTTTGGAAGAGACTCTAAGAAAAGACTTAGAGTACTTGGATCTAACGGAGGACATGACACAAAACCGAGCGCAATGGCGTTCTAGGATTCATATAGCCGACCCCACTTAGTGGGAAAAGACTTTGTTGTTGTTGTTGTTGTATACTCCTGAGTCCTACATCAAGATAGCGGATTGGAATTTCTTGTGGATTGGAATTTTGTTTTTTAAACTTTTGCATTGGAAACTGCTTCACGTCGAAAAGTGGTGTTACATTGAGAGAACATTCAATCATGGAAATTCATTATCCTCGAATATATCAAGAAAATTTTGTTGCCTTCCTAATGTTTTCCACTGACTTGCAGTGGGTTTGTGAGTCTCTATAGAGGGCGTTTGTTTGCCCTCATTAAATGGGACTGTACTACTAAACTAGATTAGGTGTTAGTGTAGTCCCATGTTTGTTAGAGGAAGGGACTAGCTTTAGTGGGATTAAACCTCACTCGCCTCGACTACAGGGCTCGCTAGATAGTTATAGCGAGACCCCCCAAATACCACCGGATTGCTAAGACCATTCTTTTCTCTCACGTTGTTCCACTCGACTCCTCGCTCTGCTCGACTCCTCATCCTGCTTGACAACCTCGCCGGACCATCCCAGGACCACTGCCACTTCCTCGTAAATCACGGTTTCCTCTGCCACTTTCTCTTCTTAGTTTTTTTTCAATTTTGTTTTGAAGATTCGTGAAATTATTACTGGGTTTTGATAGATTTTTTTTTTTTGATTGATTTGATTGATTTTCTTTGATTGATTTATTTTGTTTTTTTTGGGTTTGATTTGATTGTTTTATTTTTTCTATTTGTTTCTTTGGGTTTTGATTGCTACCATTTGTTTTCCATTTATCTGCTATTTTTCCTTTTATGAATTGATTGATAAGTTTTTGTAAGTTGAAGTGATTTTTTTCTTCATTCCCTGCTTTCGTTTTGCTAGAAATTTGATATCATATTTTGGTTTAATCTTTATCCAAAACTTCCCCATTTTCTTACAGTTCCACTACGAGATCTTGAGAAAGCCATGCCCATTGCAGCAAGTGTGCAGGGTTTGGGTGTTCATCTCAGAACTGCAAGAGCCACTAAATTTGCAGGTCTCTCTCAACTGGCAGACAAGGAAACAAATACGAAGACCACAAAAAGTCGCCATGAGGTATAGGAATCCTTGATTTTCAATTTGTCAATCGGGAAGGCCAAATGGCATTGGCTTTTGCAGTTTATTCTGGCGTATTATCTTGGTGTTATTGTGGTCATTTATGATGTTTTATTGACTGAAATTAATGGATGGGTTAATTGGTATCTTGTGGGAAAATTTGTGAAGAAAGATTTTTATGCATTAGAACTGTTTTCAGCTGAAAATTTGTGTCTGTTTTCAGTTGGGAAGTTGAATCGAGTACTGGTTTTCTGGTAATTTTTCTCTAATTTTCAACTTCTGGGTTGTTCTTGGTTGTGTTGTTTGTGGTTGATTTGCTTGTGCACTGGCTTTTTTTTTTTCTTTTTTTTTTCTGGTTTTCTACATTCGGGTTCTCTAACTAGGCATTTGGTTGCCTATCAATTTGAGTCGTTGAAAGTTTGATAATTCTCCAAGTTGCAAAAGCACCTGCAATTCGTGAAGAAGAAGAAGAAGATGGCTATGCCTATTCATTTGATATTTTTAATAGAAAATAAATTAAAACATAATAATAATAATAATTTATTGTTAATCCAGCTTCTTAATCTGACACTGCATCAAGTGCTTCACTAAGTTAGTCCAGCTTAGTCTAGTCTAAGACAGTCCAACTTAATCCTTGAAGCTGGTCCAGTCCGAGACAGTCCGATACAACAAACACACCCATAAAGTTAACTTATCAAAAAGCCCATTTTCAACTAATCATTTTGAATCAGACATAGTCTCCTGCGTCACAGTTTTGATCCACTTCAAGAGCCAAGATCTAAAACCGAAATTTTATTTCGCTTTGTTTGATCATACACAATGCGCTATTTACTTCCAAATTCATCCAGTACCACCATAAAGAGACTCTTCAAGTAATAGGGTATTGCATATTCACTTCAAATGTGCCGCAGAAATCCTGAAATTCAACATGGCTCTGATTGTCCTCCTTGTTTGTCGGAATACAATCATGTGACTTTGCAAGAATTGTTCTATCAACTCGATTATTCTATTCAGTAACAACATAAACATTTGCAGAGTAAATTGGATCCTATCTTGGTTGTAGTGGTAGAAGACTTTTAACACCAAAATAAATGTTTCCATGCTTTTTTTTTTTTTGGCAAAATATTCTAAAATGCCCTAATTTACAAGGAGATTCAAACTTAGCTACAATGGGGATGGGCCGGACACATTATCTTGGTCAACTGACTAGACCTTGAATGCAAATGTTATACATTATTAACATTGTACAGTTTGTTATTTATTTATTCTTTTTTACAGAAGCAATAGAGTGGTATTTCATTGAACTTCACAAACAATTACAGAGGTTTGCCAATCAGGTACATAGCTCCAATGATCAAGAAACTAATATGGAGTAGATTTGAGTAGTCAAACAAACTACAGTAAACCTCGCTGCCACAAGCACTGCCCTACCCTGCAAAACGTTATAGATGATTGCATGAGGGGTAGTATTATAAGCACATCTAATGGATGTTGTCCTTGTAGGACGTGTTTCGTGTAACCGAGGAAAGTTTAATGGATCGCCTAAATACGAATATGCATGAAGCATGCCTTCAGATCATTGGCGGAGCCAGAAATTTACAACGATAGGGTCAGGAGTATACTGTCATGGCTTGCGCTCTAGAATTCGTGTCTAGTAAGTGCCATCCATGACTTCTCCACCAGGCTAACGCCAAAGTAAGCGGCGTTGCTCACAACCCGGAGTACTCTCCATGCTTCCTGAACTCAAGTACGAGCTCCATACAACTTGGACCTCAGAGTTCCTCAAACTCGGCCAAACCACCGAGACAATGCCCTAATCAGACTCGACTGATGATGTCATCATCGGAGTACTGGACACCGATGTCTGGCCCGAGAGCAAGAGCTTCGATGACACCGGATTCGGACCCGTGCCCACCTCTTAGAATGGCATGTGCGAATCTGGAACCAACTTCAACTCCTTCAATTGTAACCACAAACTAATCGGCGCTAGGTACTTTGAGCGATGACGATGGAGTGTCCGCCAATTCGACGCCCTAGACAAGGCAGGCTGAAAACGCGAGTCTAATGATCTGGAAGTTGCCAGGCAGTAGATTCACGGCGGTATATTCTCCACAGTCAATGTACTCTAAAGCTCTGACAACAACGACAACTTTGATGGAGTGATGGCTAACAAATAGAGCAGCAGCTCCTTCTTCTTCTTCTTGTTTGGGGCTGTCGGCACCGAAAAGGCCCTAGGCCTTTCAATTTTCCTTCGCCTTTTATTGTTAGCCGAAAAGAGCCTACAATTTGGCCACAAGATTATTGGGGTCAAGGAATCCCATTGCCCCCACCTTGGCTCCGCTAGTGCTTCAGATTGATAAAGAATGCCGATAAAATTATCCCCGTCTACTTCTAATTTCTAATTAAGCACTCTTTAGCTTTTAAGTTATAAATTTCTCAAGTTAATATTGTACCTGTTGATACATCATGCTAATTTTTAATATATACCATTGTGTTTATTTTGAGTTCTCCTCTTAATTAACATGGTCAGTTTTGAGAAAATTGATTTGTTTAGTTACCACAAGAACTCTGAGAAAATTTATTACAGTTTGAGCCTTGCATGCAGAATGTTGAATCCATTTAACTTGTGATTGTTTATGCTTTCTTGTTATACTTATGAATCGACATGTGCATTTTCGGTGTGAATTCTCATTTAATCAATTTTCTGAGAAGAATGTCCGTTGACCTAACGGCTACAAGCGCGTCCCCATGAAATACAAATTCGCATTGTAGAAGATCCGAATCTCCAATGTCTACCGATCTGTTTCTTTGTTGTTGGCCCAATCTGTTATTTTTTGTGTTGTGTTTTGTAGACCCAATAATTGTGGTTTAGCTTGTACTCGTTGGCCTATTTTTATCCAAGCCTTTCCCACAGGGCTTCTTTCACTTTCGTTTTCTTTCGGATTTTTTGGTTTTTGTTCAATTAATTGTCTTTCATAGGCCTAAAAAAAGGGATCAACATTTCCTTGTTTCTGTGATTTTTTTTCAAGGCAAAAGAGCGAGCCTGCAATTGGAGAGTTGCATCAAATTTGATCATCTCATAAGGTTCTCCAACAAATTATACAACCAGGTAAGAAAACATTATTATCTTGACCTTTATATATATATATAAACGTGCAAACAAGTGTATTCTCTTTACCATGTGTATTGAAAATCACTGTAAATTATTAGATTGTTAAACGAATTTCAATCCAAATTAATATCCTCCACTGTTCTTCATATGTATCAATCTCATGTAGTGATTCAATCATCTCATGCTAAAATTTTCGGGGATTAATGTGATAATTAGATTTTGGTTTTCCATGTAGGGTTTGCAAGAATAAAGATTGTTCATTAGATATCATAAGTAAAAATAACAAGAGAAAGATAAATATTTGTTTTTTCATAGTGGGATACTCTTGATGAGTTAATTATATATTAGAAACCTGATTTATCTTAATAGTTATACGCATGATTTGTTAGCGAGTAGTATGAAACAAACTAGTGTTACATGCAGACATTAATCAGATTAGTTTTTTTTTTTCCTGCTACAAAGATTATATATATTTAAAGCTGTTTGATCTTATATTGTTCCAATTTTTGTACTTCTCCTGACATTCGGTGGTAACAATTTCCATATTTCCTATATTAAACGCAGAATCCATCTAACTAGGAGTTAGAAGGGAGTTCATGGTGGTAGAGAACGTTAATGATCTCTACACGATGCTAATTAGTCATCGTGGTGGAAATGTGGTTGCAGAAAATAATGCGAATGCGCAAACCTCGAGTGGAAATGGACATGAAGTGGAGTTATAGCATCCTCGATTCGAGGAAAGCTTCATAAGCAACCTCCTTTACCAGCTTGTACTTGCATATTTAGAATCCCCAGTGTACTACGCAGGCATAATGAAAAAGCTTTTCTTCCAAATTTAGTTTCAATAGGGCCATTTCACCATGGACAAAAGAACCTGCAAGTCATGGAAGAAATTAAACTATGGTATCTATATTGCCTCCTTGATCGAAAACCAACTTCAGAGACCAGGTTGGAGTACCTTGTGGAACTAATTAGAAGTATAGAACAACATTGTCGTGATTGCTATGGTGAAAAAATTGATATGAGTAGTGAAAAGTTTGTAGAAATGATGGTGGTTGATGGTTGCTTTATTATAGAACTCTTTCGCAAGTATGCGAGAGTGGTGCCTAGTGACAAAGATGATCCTGTGTTCTATACGTTATGGATGCACTCGGCACTTATAAATGACTTGTTTCTACTCGAAAACCAGCTTCCTTGGAAGGTTCTTGACTGTTTATTCCACCACACAAGGGAAAATAATGACAAACCACCGGCCTATTCTCTGTCTCATCTTGCTCTCAACTTCTTCAGGAATTCCACATTCTTACAGTCTACACAGCTTTACGGAAAATCAGGAAGTAAACATTTACTTCACATCATACGACACTCTTTACTTGGCTCATATACGCAATTACAATTAACGTTTAAAAGTTATTGGGAACCAATTCCTTCTGTAACAGAACTTCTACAAGCTGGAGTCCAATTCAAAATCAGAAACACCGGTGACAACATGCTTGATATAACCTTCGAGAACGGAGTGATGGAAATTCCACCAGTAAACATCCGAGAAAATGGAGAGTCTCTCTTCAGAAACCTCATCGCTTACGAGCAGTGTAATCCAAGCATCTCGATTTCTAATATTACCTCTTACGCTGTGGTGTTGGATAACCTTATCAATTCTAGCAAAGATGTAGACTTTCTCATTCAGAAAGGAATTATAACTACAGTACTGAGCAAGGAGGACATTGCCTGTTTCTTCACTAGGCTTTACAATGACACTATTCCCGGCTATTTCTCTTACGCAGAACTCACCAAGAATGTGAATGCATTCTATCAGGACCGGTGGAACAGATGGCAAACAATTCTCAGGCGTGATTATTTTAACAATCCGTGGTCAATCTTGTCATTTGCTGCTGCTCTTATGATCCTAGGCATGACCTTCATTCAAACCATATATACTGTTCTGGCTTACTACTAGGGTTCCGGTATGCACTGTGCAATTGTGCCTTTGTCAATATCTTTGTAACGTTGCTAAATATACATGATCGTGAATTGGAATTGTGGATTTAGCTCATGCTGTAAAATCCAAGGCTGTAATCTGTTGTATGTTCAAAATAAAGCCAAGGCTGTAATTGCTTACATGTGTATGTATCTATATACGAATTTTGTAGCTAGAAATAGCTTGCATGACCCTTTTCTGGCAAATGTACTATTCATACTTGATTCATAAACTTCTAACTATTTTCACTAAATTCATTTGTGGCTACAACTTTAATGCAAATCACGAAATCCATTTTTTTTTCTTATTGCATCAATACCTACACATAGAGGTCGCACTTGGTGCGATGGCAAGTGCCTTCGCCCATGAGCGGTAGGTCTCGGGTTCGAGACTTGGGAGCAGCCTCTCCATAAAATGGGGGTAAGGCTAGCCAACATTTACCTCTCTCAGACCCTGCGTAAAGCGGGAGCCTTGTGCACTGGGTACGACCTTTTATCAATACCTACACATGATTAGTGTGCTTCACATAGTAAGTCACCGATCAACATGTGAATTTCTGAAGCTGTACATGTTTCGAAATACAGTAGCGCCAGGTGCGTAGGCCCTTATTCCCCTAGTTGAATAAATTCATGCTTTCTCATAACATGTGCATATTTGTTGAGCCCTCATCTTGCCACGGTCACTTCTGAGAAAATTTGATTTGTTTGGTTACTGAAATTTCCAGGAACACTTACTTATATTGTTTGAGATCCTTCTTAACTTCATGCAAATAATCAAGGACGAAAGATTCAATTGCGCTACCAAATAAGACAGGTAATTTTCTATTTCTTATAAAATCCAAAATTCATACGTGAGGTTTTAGATGGCAGGGATAAAATGTATTGACATATATCTGACAGTTGTTTTGGTGCTAATGTATTCATTTTCCCAGTTAGCACCAGCTTTTATTGGCAGGAGGACTATAAGGCCACATCTAATTAGCTACCGTCATGCCAATCGGCATATAGTTTTGGGTCCCTTCCCTTAGTAGTCGGATACATTCATGCTTTGCCGTAATATTCTGCGAAAGTTTAATTTGTTTCGTCACCAAGGATTTCGAGAAAATCTATCAGAGTGAGCTTTACTCTGCGGGCAAGTATTCTCCATCCGCGTGGTTAATCGTCCAAAACCCCTAGTTACTTGCACTTATATCCACGCACGGCTAGTGTTTGTAGTAAAGCATGAAATCCATCACTAATATCACCAAAAGTTGTGAAAATCTCTTCGTCTACTTGTAACCTCATGCCAAACTCATTTGATGCGGAAGGCTTACGATCCTGCAGAATTAGCTGAAGCCCGGTGGACAAATGAGCCGTGTTTTGAACAGAAGTATGTGATTTCAGAGAAAAAACTGATTTGTTTGCTAACTGAAATTCTGGAAAGATTTAACGGTTCAATAACGTTCTTGATTTGCAGCAGTGTGCTCCACCCATCGCACCCAAGTTAGACTGTAGTTTAGATAAATTTAGTGTAATAATAGTAATGTATATACTTGTATAACGTATATCTGTGTACTTTAGACGGTTAAAATTCTTATTTTTGGCTAATTAAGCCAAGCTTACTTCTAATTAACAACGTATATACTCGTATGATTTAGGTCCCATGGCTCTCTATCAATTGTGGACCCAACACAAAGCTGAAATTTGACGTAAAGTATCAAGGAGACAAGAAGTAGCTGTTAGAATATGAGTATAAAAACATGATTGTGGATTAGCTGTTATATTGGATGAATTTTGAATGGAAAAGTCTTGATAAAGTATTTGTGTAAATCCTATTTCTTGTAGGATTATGAGTGTTTTTAGTGTTACTTTGGGAAAAGGTTTTGGATCCTTCTCGGATTGATCTTGTACACTCATTGTGTAAAATGGTTTTTGTTTTAGAGTCTAACACTAATTCTAATAGGAGAATGTGTTGGATTAATGCTGTATATAACCACAATCACTGCTCTTGCAAAGATACGGCTCATCTTGTATTGAATACCTATTGTTCAAAGAGCTCTCTAGTTTTGCTAAAGAGGAGAAGATTGTCTAGTGGTGAAGCTGCTATGGCTTCTTCGAGTTCAAGTTCTGCAGGTATGTTTTGACTGGTTTTATACTGAGGTTTATGGTTCTGTTGTTCACATTGTTTGTTGGTAGTATTGGTGATTTATTGGCATATCTATGATCCGTGACAAGGTTCCAACAGTAGCTAGCTATAACTATATAATAAGGGCGAGCAATTTCTCCTTCTCAAAGTTCCCTCCAAGCTAAAGAGAGAGCCTGCAATGGAGAACTGCATCAAACTCGATCATCCTCGTAAGTTTCTTCTACAAATCCTCAAATTAATGTAGGAAATTAAATAACAAGTTTTGCTTTAGTCTTTACCTTTGTCGATTATATGCAGGGGCGGAGCCACCAAGGAATTAGGGTAGTCCTCGGTCCATCTTGACTTCATATGAGGTGTGAACCTCATGGAAGAAGATGAAGCAAACGACATTGTTAAGCTGTTTTGATTTTAAATCTTTTCGGCTGTCTAATGAAACGATAAGTTTGGCAGGGAAGTTTTAAAAGAGATGTGCAATTTTAAATGGAAAACAACACCACTTCTGGTTCAATTCTCTCACCTAACAGTAATATACATCCTATAATTTTCTAAAGCAACCCACCTTCTTTATTTGCAGACCTCTCCCCCTTGTCCTTCTTTTTCTACTTCTTTGTATTTTCTTTAGCCTTCCACAACCTACCTCTTACTTGGTTGTCTGGGTTTTTACATTTTTTTCTTCTTAGTATTGAATTTAAGAGAATTTTTCCAGTTTTGTGAGGATTATACAAATTGCATATGTCAACATGTTATGAATTCAACTTTTTACACACACTCATATATATATATATATATATATATATACATATTTGTGAAAGACCCCTCCTCATTCAGAATTCTGGCTCCGCCACTGATTATATGTGGGCTAGTTTGGTTGTGGAATAGATGTGTCGATATGAGATGTTTCGATTCTAACGTAACACAGCGACATGTTAAGATGCATTAATGTATATAACTTTCATTTATTTGTTCTGCTAAACATAGTGCGTAGAGTATTCAGAGGTATTTAATCCTAAGATGTTGTCAACTATACATTTATTATGGTCTTTTTCACGTACAAGCCCTTGCTAACATTACACTTTTTATAAAAAATATAGCAAACCGAATACTTTGGAGAGAAAAAAAATCCTGCTGACTAGCTATGTAACAGTTTCCATTTTTAGTTTCCTGTATCAAAAGCAGATTTTACTAAATAGGAGTCAGAAAGGAGTTCAAGGTGGCAGAAAATAATGTGAATGTGCGTTCCTTGAGTGAAAACAGAAGCGAAGTTGAGTTGATAGCATCCTCGATTCGAGGAAAGCTTCACCAGCAGCCTCTATTCCCGGCTTGTAGTTGCATATTGAGAGTCCCTAGCGTATTACGGAGACATAATAAAAACGCTTTTGTTCCAACTTTAGTTTCAATAGGGCCATTTCACCATGGAAAAGAGAACATGCAACTCATGCAAGAAATTAAATTGTGGTATCTACATTGCCTACTGGAGTGCTTTGTCGAAGCCTTTAGAAGCATGAAACAACATTGTCGCAGTTGCTATGGTGAAAATTTGATACGGGTAGAGAAAAATCTGTGGAAATGTTAGTAGTGGATGGTTGCTTTATTATTGAACTCTTTCGTAATAAATTAGATATATATGCAGAAGCCCATCTTATCGGGGTTATGATTGGTGAAGCAATGCTCGCCCTGGGCTGAAATGTAACAGACGAAGCTTTATGATCCTAGTTTTAACCTTCATGCAAACCTTAATTATATTTCATGCTGTCTTACTACTAGCAAACTAGGCCTCAATTTCAATTTTGCTTTCTTCGATGTGTATATGAAGTTACCAAATACATGATCATGTCTTATCTGTGTGAATTGGGATTGTGGCTTTATAGTTCATGCTTGTTACAAGTTCAAAAATAATATACAATGTTATAAGTGAAAGTTCGACCCTTAATATCACCGAGATGCCTTTTATGATAAAGGGGTGTGCTATCCACACACCCCTTTTCACTTCTCACACACCCTTGTTAATTTCTATCCGTTAGATCTTCTTCATTTCATCTGATCCGACGGCCGAAAATTAAAAGGGTGTGTGAGAAGTAAAAATGGGTGTGTGGATATCACACCCCATGATAAATCCAAACACTTTGCAATAGGTGGTTAAGTTGAGATAGTCAGTGTTGGATCATGCTTAGCCTAAAACATTTACAAAAAATTTCATTGCCATTTCCGCAGTATGAATCACCAAATTTTGATGAAAAAAATCATGCATACAAGTTGTGTGTATTCTCATCATGTGTGGTGACCATTCGCCAATCCACATTGAGGTAGGGCACATAAATAAACACACAAAAACAAGCAATATGTACATATTCTGGCCTTTCACACAGTTAAGGGATGCCGTGCTTGCAGGAAGTGTGATTTACCGTGTGACAGAGGAAGGTCTAATGGATCGCCTGAGTACTGATATACCTGAATCATGTGGTAACTGAGCAAACTCTACTTAATTTTGTTTTCACTGTTTTATGTTTCCTTTTCCTTTTTCTGGCATTGTACGCATGACCAAGCTTATTGGCCATTCTGTGACAGTCCATGGATCTGCTGATGAGGCCGTCCCTGTCGAAGATGCATTCGAGTTTTCAAAGATAATAGCAAACCACAAATTACATGTTATAGAAGGAGCTAACCATTGTTACACCTCACATCATCTGAGTTAGAGACAGTCGTTTTGCACTTTGATATGATCTGTTGCATGAAATAGTGAAGAAGTTCATGATGTAAACCATTGCCTCATGGAACCAAGGTTCTATTTAACTCAAATTTGAAGCATCAGGGTTTTGATGAGAGTTGACGAAATGGATAATGTGAGACATGGGGGAAAGTACGGGAGGTTAAGTGAGACATTAGGGGCACAATGAGAATTCATTGTAGCATAACAACAATTAAGCCATAGTTGATATGAACCTAGCTAGTTATGTGTGATGTGTTTTTCCTATGCACTCAAGTTCTAATCCCGGCTGCCTCTTTATAGTCTTTTTAT